GAACTCTTAAACTGGGAAACCTTGCAGTGTCTTGGCATAAGTGGATTACAGCTCCGTCTAGGGATGATGAAGCATCATGACAATGAAGAGCGTAATGCTGTGCTGTATCAGCGTACTGCAAATTAAGATCTGTTTTTGACATAGGAGATACTTAGGAGGGGGAAGACTTGAGTTACAGGAATACAGGTCACGGATTAAATACCCTGCTTACTGGGCGGGCTGCTGGGGCTCCGGGTACAGTTGGTCTTTCCTGCATGGAGATTCTTGAAACCTTAGGCAGTGGCATGATCCCCGGGTGTACTGTGGACTAAAAAACCACTAATGACTCAAAAAGAAAATGTATTTTAGTTAACCATAACAGAGGCTCAGTGATCTGGTTGTGGTTGCTGGTGGATTGAGGAATGTTGGTAGAAACAGGGTGCTTTCACCAAAAAGGCAGATTGAAACTGCAGAACATAAGCTGTTAGTATTTTTCAGAGGAGGCCCAGTGTTTTGTTGTGGATATAACAGTCAAACTTGAAGATTCAGAAAGTTTTGAAAGACTGTATGCTCACTCCAGAAATGTTCTCCTTCAGGTCCTATATTTGTGGATGTACATGAAGACAGAAATGACTGATGTTTCTGACTCCCCCTCCTTCTATTCCTTCTCATCCTCCCTGCCCATGTGTGTGAGCTGAATGAGCTAATGTGTTGCCCATTGCAGTTTAGCCAGGTTAATGCTGCATGTGCATTCAGCTGTCACACCTCCTATTGCAAGGGGTGGTGAGGGGCCTGTGACTGGCACTGCTTCAAGCTCAGCAAGCTGCCGCTTGAGTCTCAGTAACAGCTTGTGCACTTTCTTTCTGCTAGTCTGCCCCAGCTGTCAAGCAAATAGTGATGGTTGTGAGTATGAGTGTGAGAAATGGGTATGAGAAATGAATTTACATTAAATAATGTGAAAATTGTTAGAGGCTTCATGTTAAAGGTGAAAGGACTAGATATGAAGTCTCGTTGCTGAGTAACCATTCTGCTAGTAGCATGTACAGAATCAGCCTGGAAACAGTTTATTCCTACTGGTATTTTACAATTTGACCTCGAAATGGTCAGCACTTATGTTATTCCAGAAAAGGAAAGGAAAAGTCTCCCTGAAGTGACTAATCTATCAAGCCACCTTCCTGCAAAGCAGTGCCTCCCACATGAGCTGTCTCTGGGCATGTAGCCCTGCGACCACCTAAGCTTGCTTTCGAGGGCCTTTGAGCACTTTGTCACAGCAGAGATATGTATTATTTTGTAGTGCACTTTGGTTGAATATGAGAGATGATTTCCTCATTCTGGGAGTTACTTCATTTATTTTCAGGATTGTCTTGCCCCATGCATTCACTCCTCCACAAGTGGCAAAGCTCCAGCTGGGGTTGGAACGAAATCTTCTTAAGAAGCTGAAGCTTCTGATTTGAAATCTTCTAATGCTCATTGGGAACAGTGGGTGGCCTTTTCTGAGGCTCCTTGTTTTCAACATCTGTTGACTTGACTCTCATCTTCATTCATCCTGACTTCTGTAAAAGAAAATCTTGGGGGGAAGCTGTTGGGATTTGGAAAATGTGGAAACAGAGTCTGTGGCTGACTTGCTGTTGGAGCTGCTGACAAGAGAGTTCGTTTATTAGAAAACAAAGGGAATGGTTTCTATGTGCTGTAATATCTCCCAAAGGTTTATCTTCTTGACATATGTGTATTAGATTGCCACCCAGGTGGTGTGAAAATATTTGTCCAAGATGTATTTAGTAGTTCCTGAGGTTAATCTTCCAAGAACTCTGTAATTACTGGGGAGTGTTGTCTTCTGTACCTTGTCAACAGACAGGTAATACGATGAAGTAAAATGTATATACGGTGGAACTATATTTAAGGATTGTTTAGACTCACTAGGTAGAACTTTTCAATTACTTGTTAATTGTCATTCTATCTATTTCCGTGTATATATCTATAGGTGCAGAGGAACGAATACTCAAACTATTCCTGTGAGATTTTTGTATTTCTTCAGCACTTTCTAACTGTGTGCTGGTGCCCCAGCAGTTTCAAAATCTCAAACTGAATAGTCCACTATTTAAATCTCTCTAAATTTATTAGTGTTGGTACCTAGTATCAACAGAAGTCAGCTGTTGGCAGACTGCTATAATCCTCATGCAGATCTTTCTCATTTACAACCACATGTGAGAGGAATCCACTTAGCTTTCCATACTTTTCCATATCACCTGTTGTAGGTTATTTTGATAGTTGAGAAGTCAATGTTCTCAAGCATGTAAGTTGTTGTACAGTAGAAGACATAAAATTATTCTAGCAAGATAAAGAATACATTGCAAATCCCTTTCCACAAATAAATTCATTTGTGCTGATTACTCCTTTGTGCTTTCATGGCAAAAGTCAATCCTGTTCTGTCATCTTTTTGTTAGAAGCACCGAATTGCCTGTAACCATTTTTGTAGTATTTGCATTAATTCTGCAACTCTGTAACAGGAGTACAGCAACTGTAATGCTCATACTTGTAGAAGCTTGAAATCACTGAAAAGCAGTTGTGGTAAGACATGTACTTGAGAAGACATGGCTTTCAAGTGTTATAAAAGTCCTGACAACAGAAGTTTACGCTTAATATACAGCATCTAACTCTAGTGTGCACTCATGATAAATAAGACTGCAAGTCCTGCAGACATCCTGCAGTGCCCGTGTTTTTGTGGTAGCCATAGCCCCTAAATGTACGTATCAGAAGCGTGCAGTTAGACCAACATGTGTAGTGAACTGTGAGTTTCACTGTGTTATTTACATGTAACTTAGGCATGCGGTTTTTATCACTTTGTATTTCCATTAGAAGGAAATGGTTTAGAAGTATACTGTGGTAAAAGGCAGGACGGCTGTGGTCTAACTGTCCTCAGCTTATCGCCCATTCTCATCACAGCCCACCTCCTCTGAACCAGTTGTGACTGGTTCAGTTTACAGGGTTTTTCCACTAAATAACCAAACCTTCCTGCAAACAAACGACCCAGCACCCAGAAGGTTTAAAAATCCACCTGTCCTCTTATTAAGGTTAAATATGTAAAAGTTAAAAACTTGATATGAGCAGTATGTGTCTGTATAAATAACTTCAGGGACAAGTGAGCTGTTGCAGATGTAAAACCTGCAACCATGTACTGCAGAAACCCCGGAAACTGTGAGGTGATAGCTATGCTTTAGGGTGGCATGCAGCCAGGGTTTTTTTGTACAAAAAGCTTAAAAAGCTGTGTTTTCTCTCTCTTTTCCTGTGCTGCAGCGACAGCATCTTTCAGTTTTCTGTATGAGACACGACAAGTGGATTTGGGGATCATTTTAGTGAAAGAGATCTTCATTCATTATGCACTCAAGCATTTCTCTAGGAGGCATAAAGGTAGGGGAGACCAGGATAGTAATACCAATGATGCTACTGAAATCTACAGTAACTGCATTCCAAAAATACCTGTGTAGCTATTTTATTTCACTTCAATTGGAACCGAGCCTTAACAAATAGTAACATGAAATATCAGCTGTTTCTCAGAGAGAGTTTGACTAAAGACTAGCCATCACATCTTTCTTCTCATTGAAGAGTAACATGGCATTGAAGGCAGTAGTTAGTTGCATTGGCTTCAATATGCGGATTGTAAAATAGCTTGTAAGATATGCTGTTAGTAAAATAGCTGTGGTTGTTAGAACTGAGCCTGACTTATGTTCTCCTTCCCCTGTAATGGCATGAGCCCTAGAAGGCAGTCCTGTTGTAACAGCACTGTGTTTGCCCCTGGCTTGGCTTAGCTCTTCAACAGAAAACATACAACGAGCTAGCTTTTATTGTTCTGTGTAGAAGTATTCCGGTTTAATATACTGAAAAGCAGAAAGCTGATGGTTTTAAGGATCTTCGAGTTCCTGAGGAATTTATATGAACAGAGAAATGAATCGGGTTTTCTAGCCATCGTGGTACATGCTATGGAAGTGCTGGGAAACAAACACGGGCCTCACAAATGCACCTGGAGGAAAGCTTTTATTGCCATCTACATCTTTACAGACACAGTGAGTGTAAATGCTACAGGCATTTACCTCCAAACTCATGGTAGTGTTTTGCCCCAAACTGAGCAAATGCTTTACCCCAATAGGTCTACATCTCATTTTTCCACAGAAATCTGAAAGGAACTGATTTGCAGAACTTGGAGATGAAGACTTCAAAGTCCAACATCTGAGAATTTTTTCTCTATTGTGAAAACACATCATCAAAGCTTCAGTTAAGATTTTGCTCAACTTAAAAAGGTATCTCTAAACAAGGTGATGTTTGTGATTATTACAATTGTTTTCTTTCTTTAAAAATACAATGTGCAGGTTGTCAGTCTGTGTTACAGTGCTGGTGTGGGGCCTGGTATATTTCTTCCATTTCTGTACATGTGCACCTTAGAATTTCTTTTATGCTTGTCTACCTGCTTCATTCAAAAATATTATGTTCACTTTTTAAAATTGTGTTTAATTGACTCTTAAAGCACACATCACTTCAGAATATTTAAGTCCTGATCTCTTTGATTAAGTTCTGATTTGCAATAAATCACTGAAAGTAAAATTGAATGAATGCCTGTGAATTTACAGTACGGGAATGCTCCTAGTTAAGCGTTAACTGCAATGACAAAACACATCTGGGCTTTATGTGTCAAAAGCCGTGTTACACCTCTAACCTTCTGCATGCATAACTACTTTTGACATGAGTACCTTTCTCATTTTGCAATATGGATTTTGGATTAAAATCCAACGTATGCAACCTTACTCCTATTGCCCACCTCAGTTCAATACTCAGAAAAATTAGGAAAACCAAACTGATATGAAAACACTAGCATTAAAGCAAAACAAGCCCTATGCACTAATGCCAAAAATAATTTTTAGATTTTTTTTGGTTGCTACATCTAACACTGGGAGCAGCCGTGTCTATATGGGTAAGTATATAGCAAAGCAAATTGAAGATGATTTTGTAAGCCTTTCCTAAACCAGCATTTATGCTTTCTTTCGTTGCTGCTTGATTGGAGCCCACGTTCTGTAGATGAAGAAGACTACGATGATATAGTACATGGAGCTCTTCAGAAGAAGGACGATGTACACTAAATATGCTGTCCTGTGCATTAAGTGATCTGTAACAAACATAAGCCAGAAAAGCCTTCTTTAATCTCAGTATTGTACAACCTCCTTAAAGACAAGTGGAACTGGGACTGTGTAGCCTGTTTACTGCTGCAATTACATTGATTCTCATGGACAATGCACAAACACATACAATATCTGACTGTCCTTTCAGTGGGTTTGCACTGCTGACAAGTTCTAGACCAAGCGGGTTTCTTAGTGCTAGAATGCCTCTCAATGCCGCTGGGCTATTATTCCCTGCAAAGGCAGGAACATAATTCTGCTGCTTCCAGCACTGATTACCAGTAGCACCATGATTGCTTGAATCCTTTTGTGATAGATTTTTTGAACATAAGTGCTCATGATTCTTCCTAAATCCCCATTCAAGCTAAAAGAAAATTTTTTGTCTGAAATGCTGGGCAATTGCTAAACTACTTCAGGTATTTATACAAGTGGCACTAACGTGGGCTAATAATCTAGTAGCCCAAACAGTATTTGTAGCATCCTATTAAAGCTCCCGATAAAGCTACTTGATAAAGTAGGAGAGCCCCTTCTTGTAATCCACAACGGAAGTTTATTCAAAGTAGCACTGAAGCGTTTTTAAGTTACAGACCCCAGACTTAAAAGGTTTCCCGTACGGTATTTAGAAAGATAATTTTCGTGATGTTCTGAGCATATGTAGCTATATCTAACTTCTGCATGACATGCATTGCTTTCCCAAATTTTAATACATTTTAGTTACCTCTGTTAAAAACTGCGCTGTTTCCAGGATATGTGCTGCAGTCCTCTTCCTGGGGAGCAGTAGCTGTAGAATCTAATGGAAAGAGAGTTTAAATGCCCTGATTAGGCTTTTCTTTAACAAACATGAATTGAGAAATAGGGGGAAAAAAAGAGGTAATACAGCAACAGTGAAATGGGAAGCTAGTGTTAAAAAAAAACCCAAACCCAATAAAAAAAGATGTTTAAGATCTGTCTGCAGAGCAGATGTTCATGAGTAGGATTCATTTGCAGAGAGAATTTAAAGCGGGAAAATGCTCCTAGAGAACTGACTGCGTATTTGTTGCCATAAGTGGGAAGTTTGCCCTTTCAGGAATATGTCCTTTAGGCAGTTCTTTGGCAGAGTCTCTTTTTTTTGGAACTGCAGTAAATTTGGCCACCTGTAGCTGGTTGCTTTCACAACGTACTGTTATTAGAAATGCAGAATAATTGACATCATAATAAACCTCAATTAGTCTGTTACTTAATGGTTGCTCAACACTAAAGAATAATCTTGAGGAAAGTATGGTCTGAGGTCCCCCTATTGGGAATTTGCTATTTTGGTGGTGGTTGTTCTCTAAAATAAACCCTTTTGGTGGTTTAGGCAGCAAAGTCATGTTTGTTCTTGATTATGGTGTTTGTATGCATTGATATATGGGCTTAAAGACATCCCTATTACATCCCTAAATACGTCCTCCATCTACATAAACTTAAAGCATATTTATATCAGAATGTATTTTGAAGGTTGAAATGTAATGGTTATTTATGGCCATGCTCTCACTCATTGGAGTTAATCAATTTATAGTAAATTGAACAGAGGTAGGTACTGAGAAAAGATTAATCTAAACCAATATAGCCAGGTCTTCTTAAAGATATTGCCATGATTTAAACAATACGCATTGATTATAGAATACTTTTTTCTTTAAAATTGCACTGTCTTTCTGATTTTGCTTTGCATAATCAACCTTTACACAATTAAATGAGAAACCTTATTTTCATACATTATTATTATCTCACTATTACTGGACTATGAGTAAATAATATATTTAAACTTTACATCCCAGCAACCTTGTTTTTAACTCCCTAGTTTTTTATATGACTATATGTCCAGGGGTGTCAGAGTGACTTACACCTGTAAGTCATGGGTAACAGAGAGGTAACAATCTTTTCAGAAACTGCTGTAGTCTGGAAGATAACCAACACGTCTCAGTGCAGACCTTTTTGAGCTATGCTAGTTTACACCTGATGAAGTTCAAGAACTGCTCTTTTCCTGTAATGATGGACTGTTCACTTGGGGAGCATAGCACAGGCTGCGTTGCTTTTCCTGGGAGAATTGTGGTAGTTTCTCTGGATGTATATTTAAACTATTGTGCCAAGGAGCACAGATGCTTTCAGAAACAGTAACAGAAAGAATTATTTCTGTAGTTTATTGCAAAGAAAAAGTGATGTCTATAATAATACGTAGAATGGAATTTTTAGCATGTAGTATATACCTCGTGTCGGCAGTGAGTGCTGTTGGCTTTCATGCTCATATTTGCAGTAATAGTTCTTGTCTTTGTTCTCTGCTGGCACAGTTAACCAGCTGCTGATTGAGTATGCTTCTTCTTTTGGGGACTTCCAGGGCCCTCCTTTTACTACATTGTCTGTTACCTCCTTTTGGTCTCCATCGGTCCATGTCACCCGAATAACTTCTGGGTAGAATTTCTCAATAAGGCAAACATATGTTATCTGATTATGTTGTGTCTTCTGCAGGATTTCAGAGTTTGTTGGTGCAGAATTTCCTTTACCTGGATTGGTTATTGGAGGAAAAAAATTAACAAAATAGAGAGCTGGAAGATCAATGGTGTACAGCAAATAAATACACAGTCACAAAATACAAATTCTGAAAAGCAACAACCTAAATGTCTTATTAACAAATGTTTTATCTCTTTAATTTGTTATGAAATACTTAGGATAGGAATAGCAATGTCTCATGTATGAAAGAAATTTTAGGTAATAGGATGGATGAAGTACAGCTGTTTCCATCCTTGAGTTAAAAACAAGTTTTTGGCGAGCTCAACAAACCTGGCATTCAAACACACTTGATATTAAGTATTGCTTCAATGGACCCAAATGGCAAATTTTAATTTTTAGTCAAAACCAGTTACAATACTACTTAGAACAATTTGGAACAGAAAATATGACTTTTAACCTTAATTTTAAATATGTTCTTTTGTAGAGAACTAAAATGAATAGAGGCTTTTATGAGTATGGTACAGAAAATCAATTCAAATATTCTAAATTAATTTTTAGGCTCAATTCAAATATTCTAAACTAATTTTTATTTAGACAATATAGAGTCTTCCAGAGTCTGTGGAATGTTTGATCTAAGCTTTGATACTGTGCCATTTGTACGGAGAAACATTATTTAAGCCCTAAATTGTTTAGTGAACACTAACATCTAGACTGCTTCATTCATGTTGCTTGTCAAGCAGCACATCCGATAGAGGAAGACTACAGTAGACTAGGTCTAGTCTTTAATACTCTAATACTAGAGTAGATTTTAAAGTGTCTCACAAAAGATTTCTTGAGTATTTTATTAGAAAAATAAATTAAAGTCTGATAATTTAAAACCTTAGAAACTTACTCAAAAATGTTTGAAAAATTATTTTTGAGAAACTTAAGAAACTGCAATATTGTTGAAGACATTAATATTCTCCCTTAAAACTGAGGTAGAAAACTTCAGGCGACTACATGACAGCCTATATCCTACAGCCTCCTAAGCAGTACTGCTGTCAGAAAGTGTATTTGCTGGCACGAGTCTTTGACAATTATTAAATAATAATAATAGTTCCTGAAAGTGCATTGTTCGTTTATTTGACAAGCGGAATTGAATGTTGCTTTATAATGTTTATGCAAAAACAACTACATGAAAACTTTGTCTACAGAACATTAAAGGTAGATCACCTACCTTTCAAATCTTTGCAGTTTTATGTCCCCACTATAAGTGGGGGACATAATATATGAACATCTGCTATATTGAATTAATTTTTTAAAAGCTGATATTAATTTTGTGATTTTTTGGGAGGAAAAAAGGCAAGAAAAATTTATTGTGTCCATTTTTTGAAGACGTTCTTCATATTTGCCAGGTGAAGATCTTGATAAAGACAGGAAAATGGAATCACAAAATGCTTTGGCCCCCAAAGGTTGGCCATGCTGTTCCTTTAATACTAGATTTGTTTAAATGTTTTAATTAGCACATATGAAAATGAAAACCCAAAACTAAACTAAAGCAGAGAACATGCTATATCTAGATAACATTTCTATATCCACATAACATATCTATCCATACCAGGGTTGTGGTAGGTGATGCGCTTTGTGAGTCATGCTCAGTATGAGCATACGTGAATATATTTTAAATGAAAAGTGAGCTGTTTCCACAAGCTAACTGTAGGTAATCTCCATTTCATTTGCCTCTCTGGATTAAACCTTATGTTATTAGGAGGAGTCCAAGTCATCCAGATGCTGTGCACACAGAGAATGTGTTTTGATATTATAAAAGTAGATAGTAAATTTAAGAGTCTGTTTTAGTTAAACGTGAAATTCTGCAGCGTGTCCATAGGCTGTGCTCATGGGCAATCCATTTTTGTCTGTGCTTAACTGCAAGTGAAGACTAGGTACTGTTTTAAAAATTAACTTTTGTTATCTAGAAGGTACGGCTTAAGACTCTTTTCTTTAAGGCAGCAAAGAGATTTTAGGTGTTCATCTCCTTACACCACTCTTTCTCTTTAGATTCCAATGTAAATCTCTGCCACTGAATTTGAGCCGCTAGATGCAGAGGGTTTAAAGTGTGGTCTGGTGAGCGGTGCAGTTTTCATGCATTGTGAGAGAACACGTTAATCTAAACATGTATTTTTGTCAAAAAGCTTCCACCTTGCTTTAAATGATCTGGCTATTCTAGAGCAACCTTCTACATTGCATCCCCCCTAAAACAACTTAGTGATTCTATGAAGTATTTAATACTCTGTCTTTGAAAACAAAGATGACCAAAGAATAAGGCTATCTACCTTCAAAAAGATAACTCTTATATTACGAATTTCCTTCATTTTGGTGATTTGTCATTGAAGTGAAGATGTGGACAGAAACAAAATTTCTAACAATTTAATGGTTCTTTAACATTAATTTAGGGGTTAATTTTGCCTTCTTTATGCATCAGTCCTCCCAGAGATGCAAGATAAAACTCATTTCTAAAATTATTTATTTGTTCCAGAGTCGTATATGATCAGAAGACCATGAGGTAGTTCCTGTCCCAGTAACATTGCACTCTGCAAAGCCTCATGACTATTTTAAATGTTTTCAAAGATTTTGAAGGCTTAGTTCGTTACCCTGACTGATTTCAGTAGGCTAAAATTTAATTGTCTAGTTTGATCTTATTCTCTTGGATTATCAAATCTAGATAGAGAGACAGAGAGAGGTGCTTCCAACTGCTAGTTCATCCTGCCGATTTTAGAGACTTCTATTAGATGGAATAATTTCCACCTCTGGAATTGCTAGTCTTTCCATGTAACATGAAAAGACCCTAGGTGCTAGTTAAATGAAGCACCTAAGTTATATCACAATACTGAGAAAACATATTGCTTGAATAACTGCAAGTGTGTGCATGCGTGGGGGAGTCTCATGTACACGCAGAGGTAAGTGGATGACAGGAAAACTGAACAAATCAAGTTTTGCATAAGAATGAAAAATTGTAGAACTGGCTGTAGATTTTGATGTATTTTCAGACTGATCTATACACTTGCTGAAGTCAACAAGACAGGTTACACTGGCATTTCTGGGCAAAAGATCTGATCCTTTCTGAAGAATTTTTAAGTCATGAACTTCTGTTCTGCTGTCTTTTTTGTTTTAGTTAAACTTTCAACAAATTTTGCTGTTTACTTTGTTAAACAGTTTTCTAAGGCCAGTTTAAAAAAGTACATAGGTCTTTCTCTCTAAAACAATATATAAGCATGTACAGATATTTCTAAAGCTAAAATCTCTTTTCTCTCTTTTAATAATGCAGTGAGCCTGCAAAACATTGTGCAAATAAAATTCTGGAGTTAGTCTCGTAACCAGTGAGCTATTAATGAATTTGGGTTCAAAATATATGTTTTTATAGATTAACTGTAAAAAGTTTTTTTAATGAAACTCCTCTACAGTTTCTTTATGAGTATGTATAAATAAGATTTATAAATAAGGTCAATGTGTTCTTAAGCTGAAATTTTAATTCTCATTACTTGGATGATCCCACAAAATAATTTTGTTTGATACACAAAGCTCCTCAGTCCCCCTTGAAGCCAGTGGGAGCTGAGAGTACTCAGCACACTCGGCTCATAAACAGTGTTCTTGTCCTGCTTGCTAGCAACTTCAGGTATTATCATTGATAATAATATAGTATAGTCCTGTGAGCCTCCTCAGATACCTTAAAGAGCTGTCAACCTTCACTTGAAAGCTTTCCCATTACAAAACTTAAAAAAATAAGTCTTTGAAAACACTTACTGGAGACAATGAGTTTTGTGCCAGAAACAAATATCTTTTCAATCCCCACTGGTACATTCCCTTACAGAAATTGCTTGGGATGTTTTGGCCCAACAAGGACCAGATTTAACAACCATTGTATGAACAATAAGAGTATTCATTTGGCTATGTGCATATAGAAATTTTGAATTCAATCCCAGCTAATACTGCTATTCCCGAAGAGCCTTTAGTGACATGTACTTTAAATTCAGTTTCAAGCTAATCTTTCCCATCACTTCTTTAAAAAAATATGAAAAAAACCAAAACTGCTGTTGTCTGTGGCATTGATTGAGTTACCATATTTCCTCTAGGATTTTTTCCCTAGGAAAAAAAAAAAAAATTCTGCAATGGTGAGTGTTTTTGACCACATGATTTAAGAATACACATGTGCTAGATCATTGCTTAACAGAATTAATGAAAGGCAGTCCTGCACAGTCACAACTCCTCTCAAGCCTAGTGGACGGGCATTTACTTGTCTTGGGCCTAATCCTCTCCATGTTGATGTTACTGTAATCTGCTTAAATGGATGTGGAATTGTGACCGTTCACGCTCAAATGCTGCAGTACTTGCCTATGCAGTGCTATTGCAGGTAGTCAGTACCAAAAGGAAACACCACATGTGCATCTGTGTACCTATAGAGAAGCACCAACTTCCATCGTTCCTGTGCATGTCCTTCCCCAGGGCCTTCTGACTTCTTCCCAGAGAAAACCATGTGCACCTCACATGCGATCCTGCCAACGCTGAAACCAAAGGCAACATTTCCAAAGTTCCAGGATTTTGTGCCCTCACATTTTAATATTTTGATTATTTATTGTCTGCCTGCAGCTAAGCGGTGCTGTGGTGTATCCAAGAGAGCTCAGTTTCTCTTGGTTGGAATAAACCAGCTTTGTTAGGACAAATCCCTGGGGAAAGACCTTCCCCTTGACTAAAGAGTGAAATACAGATCTTCAAGCCATGGTTTAGGGGATCTGTTGGCACTCACCATGTTTTCCTGTATAGCACCTCTATTCCCCCTGCTCTGAAGCCAAGGGGTGATCTACAGCAATGTTTCTGAGTTACCCTGACCCTGCTGCTCTGAGCAGTAAGCTTTGCACAAGGGAATGACCCGAGGCAGCCGTAAGTATCCAAAAGAAGTTTATGTGGAGTCCTATAGTTTACCCTGACCTCTCTTATACAAGCATTTGGGTGCTAAAGAAATGAATTCTGCTATTGCAAAGTCCACATCACTTTTTTGTATTACACTTTTAAATCTCTATTTTAACCTGTATTATAGTTTTAAAATAGCATATCACACTCCCTCTCCTCTAGATTTTGGATAATCAAAATAAGGCATATTTTTTTAGGTACTAAAAAACTTACCAGAAACAATAAGCTTCGTGCCAGTTCCGAAGACTTTGTAATATTCACTGTGTACAAGTGCTTTGCTAGTCTCAATGTTTTTAAAACCTCATTTTGTGTCCCAGCCTAACCTCATTTTCTTATTAGAAATGCACCTGATTGTTTTGACACTCTGGTTTTTATAACTAAAACTTTCCTTACAAAATGGCATGTAGATGAACCTGGGTTTGCTCATACAACAAATTTCACTTATGGTAGTCTTTCAGGTTTAAGTAACTAAGCTTGAATGTACACAAAAAATTATTTGGAATACTGATGAAACAGAGGACGGAACCCTAATTTAACAGAGGGCCTTCAATATCGCAGAAATATTTAGGCAGATCCTGTGCACCTGAGATTTGTGATTTTTTAGACTGAGACTCCTTCAGCAGCCCCTGAGGTTTCTATGAAAAACATGAGGAAACCGTAAAGGTTATCACCTTGACAACATGGCAAATGCATTTTTATATATGTGCATGTACATCTGTATGTTAATATATATCCTACAAAGAACCTAGTGCTGTATGCTATCACCAGTTCAATCTTTTTGGGTCATGGCTTTAGAGTTACAGAGACTGTTATGAACAGGGGAATGTTCACACTGAAACCTGTTTGTGAACTTTGCCTTAAAATGATCAGATACTGTATTCATCTTCATGCCCATGAAATCCTTGATATCTTAAAGCTGTTAGCAAATGTTCCTATTAATATTAATCATGCTAAGAGGCTTTCACTCTGCAGATTTCGAGGGGCCACATCTTCCCTTATTTATGTCTTACAGCTCCATCCTTCTATCCTAACACTCATTTGAACTTTTAAGTCTAATGGGTTTTGGTTCAGGCTTTGTGTTTTTCCCTGTTAAAAAAAAATACTAATGCAAACTAATGCATACGTTAATCTTCACCATTTTTATTTAAAAAGGCAGAGTCAGTTTAATCCAGCTTCAGGTAATGTATAAATAAATTTAATTATATGCTATCTTTAGGCAACATATATTTTATAATATATAATTACAAAAAATAATTGTAGCTTTTTGAACTCTGAACTTCAATGTATTAAGTGAAAACAAGATAGATACTTCAGTAATATTTAGGTGAGAACATTTAAATATTGCTGCCATAATTTCTACTGTGAAATTATTTCCTAGAAATGTTAGTAAATTGTTCTTTTTATCACTTCAAAATAAATTTGCAATATACTTGTGAATTGCCAGGGAGACACAGCTACATCTGTAGCAGAAGTGATGGCAAAGGGAAACCAGCCCCACCTGGCTGAGCAAGCCACTCTGCTTCTGCGCTGAAGGAAAAAAACCTGGATTTGGAGAGGCTGGTTCAGTCTTTGGTTCAGTCTTGGCTTCCCTGTTGCAACCTTGTGAGTGCCTAAATTCCCTGGAGACACACTTGCAGAAGATTCCTGCATTGCCAGTGTGTGTTGGATTAATATTCCTGTTCTGCTGTAAGCTTCTAAAAACTCATGTATTCCACCAAATGCAAATACCAAACCAGTCTCTCAAATCCCAACCCTTCTGTTACCTGCATCAGTGTAAGTCTCCAGCAACTTTATTTTGGTCGGAACTAATTAAAAGAGACCAGCAAGAACAAAATCAAGTTCATTACAAGTTGATGGGAGTTTGCCTCTTTATATATTTGAGTCTTTTAGTATAGATCTGAGAAAAGATTCTGCTCAAGCTCAAACCCTGATGATTCACTTGAATTAAGGTCACTTATCCTAAGTCCTGCTTTTCTCCATTTCTTTCCATTAGGAGTGACTTACTGAGCTAATGTTGGGTAGTTACCTCTGAAAGGACAAGCTGTGATGAAGTGCCTGGTCTTAATCATGAGGTGACTACAGCCCTCTTACTCTACTAATTGGTCAGAAGCTTTGGCCACATGAAGACAAAATCCTACAGAATTAGAGGGATGCCTGAAAATAACTTATTTTAAACATTATGTACTAAAAGTATTGCAACTACTTGGTTGACAAGGTAAGGATTTTCACTTAAAAACAACACACTTATCCTGACACAGATATTTCTATTGAATTATAGTCATGATTTACTTCGTCTTTCTCACATAAATCATTAAAAACAACCTTTGCTCGATATGCTAATATAAGTTTATGTATTTAACCAGGCTTAAATATTTGGTAGCCTTGTGTTTGTGTAGTTGTTTACTCCAGGATTATGGCATTCAAAGCACATTTAATCAGAAAAAGATTATTGTCCTCCACTTTCCATTAAAATAACTGTCTCTGCAGGGAAGGCAAAAAAATGGATCACTTCTTCATTCTTCATATACATGTTATCAAGCAATAAGAAGGGCATTTGGAGGTACTAATTTCTTTCTACTGCCAAAGTACTGTGTACATGACAAAAATAGGTACAGACAAGTTATTTCACTTTTACTAGCCTAATTAAAAAAGGATTTTGGCAATGGCCATTGCATATGGCTCTTTCTATCTGTGTTGGGAAGAGGTTTTCTTTTTTTGTGCTTCATTCACAGCTGCTTGATCTTCAGTCCCTGCATATTCCTTCAGTACAGCTGGAGGAAAGAATGACGGTACTGGAAACAACTACGGGCCATTTTCCACCACGTTTCCAAGAAGGAGTGCCTCAAAATAGCTCCTTTTCAGAAATGTTTGTGATCCTAAACCACTGCATTACAAATACAGCAAGGCTGTGTGTAGGAATGATAAGCTAGGGAAGGGAAACCTGCACAAGGATGGTGTTGACTGAGGCTCTGAGAGGGCTAAGCCCCCTCTGGGACACTATAACCTCATCTATATGGACCACCCCAAGCTCCTATAGCTTACTGTATGGAAAATAGCATGTAACTTACCTGACACGATGAGTTTTGTACCGGAGCCAAACACCTTCCCGTAATAACCAGTCACAGTGCATAAAGGCTTTGCAATAACTGTGCAGCTCTGTTATCTTTGTGTGGGTAAACAGTATTTAAAGAAAATCAGATTTGCTATATAATAAGTTTTTAGATCCTAGAAAGAAAAAAAGGAGCACTTGCCTAAACTAAACTAAAAAAAAAAAAAAAAAGTATGGAGGTTTTTGAGGGCATGTGTGTTGTTAAACAGACACAGGATTCAACTCAACTAATTTTAGTCTTCTGAAAGTTTAGACAGACAGTGCAGATTGAGCACCTTGGCTCTGTCTCTTCTTTCTGAAGAAAGGCAGCACCAGCAGAGGATCTACTTGATCAGATATTGACCAAGTAATTTGCTCCTTACACATCCCCATAAAACCAGACCTAGAACTGGTGATCATTATGCTGAGATCTGAGCAGGACATGACCCCCAACTAATATTTTTGTAGTCAGTAATGTGAAGCAAAACCCTGCATGGACTGGAATCGAACCTCCCGCTAACCAGTTAAGCCATTTTCAGATGGTCAAAAGTAGGCAAACTGGTTTCGTCTCAGATGCTTAGCTGAGCTGAATCACAGGCAAGCATCAAAACACCTGAAGTTTGCTTGGAGCAAAATAACTTTTATAAGTATGCTGAAACATTTTGAGTCTGTCATTCTTCCTTAATAATAGTAATAACTGATAATAAACGATTTCTGCAAAAGCTGAGAAGAGAGAGCAGCCTTTCAACAACGTGTACCTTTAGATAGTTCTGGGTCTATCTCAGGTAACTCCTTTCATTTGGTACAGCTAGATATAGTCCTGAAGGAAAACGTTTTGCTTTTTGAAGAAATTGGGTAATCCAAAGGTTTGACACTTTTCTTTGAGAATGAATTAGAAATATCACAAAGGTTGAATGAGCATATTTAAAGACAAAACCATCTTTCAGTTCTCTGAATGCTATCTTTCCCATATTTAAACTAATCTTTAAAAAGAAAATAATGGGGGTAGTTACACATCTGCGCCGCAATAGCTGCTGTGGTTCCCCCATTTCATACATAAATACAAACCAGTTACGTTGTGTTCTGCATATGGAAATGTTGTTTAAGAGGAAAATCCTGCAAACCGTTCAGAAGGGTTAAAACTAGTGGAAGCTAAAATACTATCTGTATATCTAACTGTATTGAAAAGCGTTTCAGAAGTAGTTAAGTTTTACATTTTGTACTTACTTGAAACAATAAGCTTAGTTCCACTTCCAAATATTTTGACATCAGCATCCCACAGTCTGATAATGCTTAGCAATATCTCCTGCACTGCACTGTTCTTGCACAGGCTGTAGAAAAACTCTCGCTGATTTAGTGGTTGGTGGCAATAGCTGAATTTTCAACTTTGACTAGAGTGCCATTTTTAGAAATACTTTGATTTTTGTAGTGAGTAAAAAGTTCAGGTTTTTATACTCAGCATTTTCCGAGAAGAAAGCAGTGCCATGCTTATTTTATAACTATGTCCTAATCCTTTTAGCTCTGGGATTTCTCTAACAAAAATCTGTTCCTCTGGTCTGCTATGTTTTCTCTGAAGTAACCTCTTTTTGCTGTTTTAAGAAGAAATGTGGTTACATTAGAATTCCCAAAGGAAACTAAGTAGTTTATTAACTAGTTTATTACTAGTTATTTGTTGATTTAAATATACAGGTCAACATTATTTTTTTCCTAAGTGTTCTATCTTGCAAATTACTTATAGTGTGAAAGTACCTTAACTAAAGTTTCATCAAACTCATATTTCGAAGCCCATATTTTAAATGCAAAGTCCATATTCTAAACAAAACTTACTGACACCCCTAAATAAGTTCATGCCTTTTTGACAAGAGGTTACGCTGTCATCTTTTTTTGGCAAAAGCAGTTGCCCCTACACAGGCACAGTTTAATTGCAAATTTCAATAGAGAATGTTTTTGGTCAGAGGCATGGATAACATTTTAAATTTTTCTGTAACTCTCCTATGCTTTTTACGATTTGATTTAATGATAGTCACCTTGACAATATCATATTTTCTGAGAAACATACAGTAGGCGTTGCTACACGCTTTGTACTGGAAACAGCGTTTATCCTATTGATCACATAACTTCACCTCAATTAAGAATAATGCAAATGCAAAAGTAAACCAATTACTTTCAATAGGGACAGGAACCAGAAATCTGTTACATTCCAGGCAATTTTCCTTCCCAGTCAACTTAGACTGAACCACCTCTACCAATAAGAAACTTTTTGCATTTCTCATTTGCTGTTCTGAGAGTAACCTTTCAAGCAGTTCACTTTTCTTTCCCACAACACAAATGAATCCATACCAATGTTTAAGTTTTTACCTCTCCTCATTTTTCCATTCCCCCCATCCTTAATAAGCATTCAGTAACTGTTCTAGAGGTGACGGCTCTATTCATGAGGTCAACCCACTCAACTGGGGCACCACGCACAGTGCACAGACAAAACATGATTTATTAGGCAGAAATTCATTTTCCTACAGTCTTTCATTCTTAATTGACTGAGAACCTGAATGACTCTGTGAAAGTCTGATTAATAATAATGGTACTTACTAGAGACGATTAGTTTGGTTCCCGTGCCAAAGTATTTGATCCACGTCCTCCACACTACATTTTGGCTTTGCAATAAGCTGACGTGCTCTCTTGCTATGCCATTGCTGAAGAAAATCCCATTTTTTTCCTGATCAGCCCTGGGTGACTGATTGAAGGCCTGGTCCTGGGCTGCGGGGAGAATGTCAGGAGTCGCAGACTTGCACCTGGCTCTTCAGCTGCTGGCTAATGCCCCGTGGAGTACATCTCTTTCCTAAAGTATTGCAAATTTGTTAGGTAACTCCTCCGCTTAACTTAATGCCTAAGAATTAGGTGAAGGTTTCTCTTCAGTTTTAGGCACACAAATAGGTGTACAGGGTTGGGCATGTTACAAAACACGTACCTTTAGGTGATGATCCTGTTCTTCCACAAAGGGGTTCACCCCCTCTCCCCTGCAATTAAGTGACATCAGTTACTGATAACATGGAGTTCATTTTTAGTTGTCTTAATACGATTCAGCAGAGGGAAAGGAGGGAGAGCCAGCACCATAGGCATTGTGAATGTGCCCATGTGCCGCAGGTTGCGTTTTCTGCCCCTGGTACATGGTTATTGTCTGCCCATCTGGAATCACTCCAGGCTGTGCAACAGCAGCTCACTGGCAGCTTTTCATATACTAGCTGCTGGGAGAAGGAGGCTGTTCCTCTGTGCACAGGTTTCTCATAGAACAGCCCAAGATAACATCAGAGGAGTTGCTGCTGCTGTCAACAACAGGCTGCATGATTAGTTTGCCATTTAAAAGAAACCGAGGTTGAGTGTTGCTGGGATCTCGTGTGGCATACCAACTGCAAAACAACGTTAAGAAATTATGACTTGAGGGTAGAGGGAGGAACTAGACTGAGGGTAAAGGTCTTTGAACTGAAGTAGGTGTAACAAAAGCAATCATCTACTCAAAAGGCTCCGGGGCAGGAACACGGTAATCGCAACCATAAAGCGATGGCAGCAGTGTTGTAGACAGGAAACGGTGCTGGCCAATGCTTTTCCTGCTGTGTCTTTAGGCACACAGCAAAGGAGGCCACCACCGTCTCAACTGCAGTTGCTGGGACTGTTGGCTTATGGCTGTGACAGCGAAAGCTGAGAGGTCTCATTAGAAGAAACAAATTGAACCACTGCATATTGCTGACAACTTATCTAACGCCCCTGTGTGATCTGGGCTTGCAAGTATGAAGAAGAAAAAAATGACCTGTAGCCATTTGGAGACGTAATGCGTGTTTGAGATTGTTCTGTCACTGTTTCATCCCATCAGACTAATATTCTTTAGTAAGTTACATTTCAATGAGCCAAGTGAGGAGAGCATTGGGGTACCACAGTAAAGGAAAATATTAAGGAGAGACTTGATGGTAGAGAAAAACCTCTGTGGATTAATTTCTCAGGCATGAGAGCCAGCATGCGCCTTGAAGCAATAGCTAGGATTAATGCATTGCTTAAATACGGAAAGTTGTTCTTAAACAAAGCAAGCTCTTTTCTTTGATACTAGCTTTGGTAACTCTGTCTTCAACTTTTTGGATATTTCAGATACATCACTACTATGATAAGCAGTAGTGAAACACGGGTATTGATAAACAAGAAGGAGGGGAAAGGGGCTGATACAGCCCCCAAAAATAGAGAACAAAAATTCCCACCTCCAGATCTCACGAGGAATAAATAGAAAATCTTCCTCCTCTGACAGCTACTAACTTTTAAGTGAAAATAACACTCCTTTTTCTTTGCTTAAAATTTTAGAAACCTACAGGCTGAAGTTCTGTATTTCAGTTTTCTTTGTCAGGCCAAAGGCTTTGAAGAGCTCCAGTTCGACGCACTGACCTTTTTCCAGGAACAGCAATATGGAAAAGTGTCCCTTTCCATTAAATAAATACTTGCAACCAGTTCACGGACACACTTGAGTGAAGAGGAAAAGAAGGTGGAATGCAGAGGATGGGTTAGGTATTGGACTTTCACCATTCCCTTTGAACTTTGCACTTGCTCAGTCGAAATCTCTAGCTTTTGGCAGCTCATGCTTCCAAGACAGCAGTCAGCACCAAGCTTGTCCTGCTTCTCCAGAGCCTGTGCGTGAGGCCAGGCAGCTCATCCATTCCAAGGGAAGTGAGTGTGATCTTTCAAGTTGTTTGTGGTTGGGATGCTGAGGGAGTATTTATCTAGGTGATCTCTGAGTTTCTACCACCGTGATGTGCCAGTAGGCGCAGTAGTAGGTAGCAGTGTCATCTAGAATAACATTGTTTATTGTGAGAATATACAGTTTCTGGCTAGGAACTTTTTCAACAATGTACCTGTGTGCTTGGAAGCCATCCTCTACTACTTTTTGCTCTGCAAAAAATAGCATTCTCTCTGGAGCTTTATTCGCCTTCTGTTGATACCAGTGTATGACAATGCCATCAAAATCTTCAGAGACATCTTTAAAGTGACATTCCAGATGTACACTTCCTTTAGACTTGGTGACAGACCGAGGGATCTGAATGGGAATTTCTTGTGCAAATCCATCTAGGAAAGAGAAAAGGAGAAATTATGTCATTAGGTTGAATTCGGGGACCGAGGAAGGTGCCTGTTAGCACAGCCATGGGTGCCTGTGAGGAAAGGTAGGAAATTAATGCAGGACTTACAAGACCAAGCAGCTGCGGCCATGAGCGCTGCCAGCAGCAGCATGTTTGCTGGTCACGCTCTGCTGTCGTTGGGACTCAGAGGAGAAGGAAACCGTCCCTGGTGCAGAGTGAGCAATGCCATGTGGGTGGAGGAGGCAACTCCCCTGGGTGGCAGCTGGTGACACTGTGCTAGACGAAAGTGTCCCCTGAGCTCCTGCAGGGAGCAGGGGGGACAGGGGAGTGAGAGGGGGCAGGGGAGGGGAGGGGAGAGAAGGGAAGGGAAGAGGAAAGGAAGGGAAGGGAAGGGAAGGGAAGGGAAGGGAAGGCCAAGGCAAGGCAAGGCAAGGCAAGGCAAGGCAAAGCTCTCCCCTGCATGGGGCTTTGCTCTGTGAACAGACCATGGACGGCTGTTGTGAAGCTTGGGAATTGTTGGTCCCCTGTGAGACATCCGGAGTGTGCTAGAGGCGGTGAAACCGGTGGAAATGGGTCTCTTAATGGTCCACATCAATTTTACTACCATAAAATGGGCATAGTGATGGCTCATGCTCCGAAGAGGATGAGGTCTGCTTCAGGAAGCTCAAGACCACAAGGAAAGGCTCCCTCAGAAAAACATCAGTGCTGACTGCAGCACAGCAAGTGCAGTAGAGAAGGATACCAGAAGCCACTGCATGCGGAAGACAGAAAACAATAAAAAGAAGGATGATTCACTGAACTAAGAGGAAACTCTTCGGAAAACTGCCGTGAGATCCTATGAATAATGTCAACGTGTGAGAGTACCAATTTCTGGCTGAGAGCTGTGCGTCCCACCACTGACTAACCCTGACGATACCAACAGGATTCAGTGAAATCAATGAGCACTTGCCTGCTTAAACTTCATTTTGTGTTTAAAAGTTTCAAGAGCTGAGGCTGCTGGTGTAGTGTTTATTTGCACCTAGCCTGATCTTCTTTCTAAAATCCGAATAGCTCATTCTGCATGGTGGTCCAGCATTTCAGGTATCCAATTACACCCTTCATCAGGAAAAGAAAAGCTGATGAGTAGTCACATACTGGGCTAATGACACAGGCAAAAATTATTCCTCTCAGGCTTCTCTGTGAAATGCTTGCTGTACCAAGGGCCGTATACTAACTCACTGCAAATTTGAAATAAGTCCATCAAACTTGACAATTGTAGTGAATCTCCCTCCTTCAAAAAAACCTCTGTTTATCCTATTTGCTTTAACATGAAATGAAAGAAGAGGGTGGTTATAAGCAGCAGATCATCAGCTGTGGTAGATAAGAGACTGTAAGTCTCTGATGTAAATTGGTCCGTATGGGATTTTACAGTATCCAAATTCAGTAAACAATATTTCCAGAGACTTACAGTTGCTTACACGTAGCAAAGACTATAGTGGGGAACATGGGGAGCTTTTTCTTAGAAGTGCTAGGTAGTGGCAAGCATATTTTTCCCACCACCAAGGTACTTCATTCAGCATGTTGTCTTTCTTTTACTGCTTTCTCTTTCCTAGGGGAGAACAGTGGCTGGACTAGAAGGTCAATGCAATGTTTGTTTCCCTCAGGGGCCACCAGACTTCTGCCATGGCTGTGCGAACAGCACCAAAGCAGCAGGTGAGTTTCCAGTCTTTGTGTGCTAATTCTTAAGGCAGTGAAGACTTCCCTTGTCCTTAAAAGAGTAGATGTGTGTTTGAAGACGACTGCTATTGACAACCCAGACTTTGAAAAGGGAAGTTAGCTGCTCTTTTTGGGTAGCAGAAAAAGGTTTGGCCTTTCTGCAGCTGGTACCAGATGGAACGAGCCGATCAGGTGAGTGGCACAGTTACAACCCTGTGGTTCAGATGTTGAGGGAGGGTTTTTTGCCTTGATGATCTTTGAATTTCTGTCATGGTGAGGGTCCCAGTAGGCACAGTAGTAAGTAGCAGCATCATCTGGAATTACATCTTTTATTGTAAGAACACACCGCTTCTGGCCAGAAACGTTTTCAACCATGAACCTGTTTGCTTGAAAGCCACTGTCAACTGTTGGTTTCCCTCCTGAGAAGAACAGGAACCTCTGTGGAGCTTTACCCTCCTTCTGTTGGTACCAGTGTATGACAGTGCCATCAAAATTCGCCCCTAATGATTGAATTTCACATGTCATCCGTGCACTTTTTTGGAACTTGGTAATGGATATAGGGGTCTGCACAGGAATTTCTTGTGCAAATCCATCTAGGAAAGAGAAAAGGAGAAATTATGTCATTAGGTGGAATTCGGGGACTGGGGAAGGTGCCTGTTAGCACAGCAGTGGGTGCCTATGAGGAAAGGTAGGAAAATAATGCAGGACTTACAAGACCAAGCAGCTGCGGCCATGAGCGCTGCCAGCAGCAGCATGTTTGCTGGTCACGCTCTGCTGTCGTTGGGACTCAGAGGAGGGTGAAAGGGATCCCAGATGGGAACAGCGTTGTGTGGGAGGAGGAGGTGACTCTCTTGAGCGGTCTTCAGCGATGGGTCTTCTGTGCGCAAGCAGATGGGGCACATTTACAGAAAACCTTCTCCAGGCTGGCAAATACTGATTAGAGATTGTAGTCTAGTCTGCTTTTCAGATAAATATGAGAAACATTGGCAAATCCTGGGACTGTGGCCCTTGAAAACTTGAGCCAGAGCCACTGAGAAAGGGTTGCAAGTGAGAGCAGCTCCAGCTGTGTATCGGAGTGTGAAGGTTTCAGCCCAGAGGTCACCGCAGTGGGTGGTGAATGTGTGCCATCATCCAGAGGGGTGAGGAGAGGTGTACAGTGCCTGAGTGGGTGGAGGCATTCCCCCATCCTGTTAGGGACCTCCTTTTGCTGTTTCAGCTTAGCCACCCAGCTGTGGCATGCCAAAGTGCCGAGGGTGACCCTGTGCTGGTGCTGCCCTCAACTGAAGCAGTTGGAGGCCATCAGCCTGCAGCGACCGGGGCAGCTGCACTGTGGGGACATGCCTCCACTTTGGTTTTGAGTGTGGGAGGAAATGCACGGCCGCAGGATTTCAATTTTGAGGCTCAGTTGAGATGCAAACACTTCTGAGACAAGAAGACTGGAAAAAAAGTGAGCCCAGTGAGGGCTGCTGTCAACAGCCATCTCAGAGGGGCATCTCGATAAGCAGGGCTGGTGCCACGGGGCGCTCCCCTGTGACCAGTGAGCCCAGGCTGCAGCTCGCCAGGCACGATGGAGATGAGCTGCTTCGGTCTCCCTCCTGCTGGCAGTTGGCCACATGCAGCAAGCCGGGGTAAGTACGTGTTGCTAACCAGCTTGGTAAGGCGCCCATGAGTTCAGGGTTCCAGGGAGAGGAAGGCAAGGAGAGACACCTGCCTCTGTGTGGTGGCAATGGGAAGGGTACCTCTTTTCCCAATAAATAACCATGGGAAGGTCTCTTTAATTTTCTGTCAGGCCACCCTGAGCGGGATGAGAAGGAGAAATTACTTAAGGACTGGCAGGCACAACAAAGTGACAAGGAAGAGAGAACTATGAAACAGATTTTAAGGCGAAGGGAGGAAGCTGCAAGGAGAAGTCTCAGCAGCATCCCATGACTGTCTCCTGTGTGGGCAACTATAATTGATGAGAGTGAAAGCTTCCTTGGAAATTGTGTGTTGAGGACCTGAAATCAAGCCCCTGTTGCCAAAAACTACCAGGATATGTATAAAAGAATAGCAGTACATTGCTATTTTTATGATCACTCAGCAGAAATCTGTCAGGCACCTGATCCCAGATGAAGACTAAAGTATTATGGTAGTGCCTGCATCCCACACAATTAAATGTCTAAATTACAGACACTGTATATGTTTGTACTGTAGCTTTCTAGCACATCCAGTCTCCCAGTAGGAATAATTGCAGATCAAACTTGGTGGTGTCCATGCCAAGAGGACACATACAGTGGCCAGACTCTTTTTCAACAAAATGCATTTCCAGGTTCAAATTATCACCGAATAGACTTGTCACTGATGGAATGACCAACGCCCACTTTGCAGAGAGCTTTGTTATCTAAGGCTATCTAAATAGCTTCCCCTTTGTAAATCCATGCTGACTACTCCTGATTACCTTCTTCACCTTCATGTAAATGGTTTCCAGGATCAGTTGCTCCATCACCTTCCCAGGGATTGAGATGGGGCTGACCCGCCTGTAGTTCCCCAGGTCTTCCTTCTTGCCTTTCTTGAAAATAGCTCTGGCATTTGCTTTCTTCTAGTCTTCAGGAACTTGTGCTGATTGCTGTGAATTTTCAGAGACGAGTGAGAGCGACTTTGCAAAGGCATTGGCCAGCTGCCTCAGCACTTGCGTCTACAGCCCATCAGGTGCCATGGACATATGTATGTTCAGTTTAAGTGCTCTCTAACCTCACCCTCCTCCACCAAGGATATGTCTTTCTTGCTTCAAGCTTCCTCTCTGGTCTCAGAGGCCTGGGATTCCTGAAGGCTGGTCTTACAGGTGAATACTGAGGTAAAAATGTGTTGAGTACCTTGGCATTTTTCATGTTGTTTATCATCAGTTTCCCTGCCCTATTCAGCAGCTTTCATTAGTCTTTCTTTTGCTGAAATGAAAGGTTTCTTTTGAACCCTTTCTTGTTCCCGTTTGCATCCTTTGCCAAATTCAACTCTAGCTGGGCTATTGCTTTCCTAAAAGCATCCTTGCATGGCCAAACAGCAACTCCATACTCCTCCTAGGTCACCTGTCACCTCTTGTACACTTCATTTTTATGCCTGAGTTCACTCAGGAGCTCTTTGCTCATTCATGAAGGCCTCCTGCTACTTCTGATTGATTTCCTACTTGTCAGGCTGGACCTTTCTTGATCCAGGCAGATCTCTGAAGACTTTAAAGTCTGCTCTCCTGAAGGCCAGGGTTGTGGTCCTGATTTTTACCTTGCTCCCTCCTCTCATGGTCACTACAGCCAAGGCTGCCTCTGACCTTCACATCCCCAACCAGTTCTCTCTTGTTTATAAGTAGGAGTCCAGCAGAGCACCCTTTCTTGTTGGCTGCTCAAACACCTGTATCAGGAAGTTGCTGTCAACTCACTCCAGCAACCTCCTAATTTGGTTCTGAGGAATCCTTACATCCCACAGTGTGAAGACAGAAGGCAAGGTGACTGAAGTTAGCATCTGAGGTCACCTGTACTAAAACCTATTCTTCAGACAGTTAAGGAGGCCAGAAACATCTATAGCAAGGTGTTATATACTCAAATCGTACTGAAAGTTTAGCAAAAACAATGTTCAGAGCCTGTTCAGCTGTAAAACCATCACTGTGGAGGTATTTGCACTCATTTTTGAAGGGCCAAGCACATTAGAGGAGTATCTCGCAGGATATTGAGCATGTGCACTCTGTCCTAATTCAGGAACTTGGAGGCACAAAACTATCTCTGTTTTCCGACTTAGCTGTTGGTCAAATGCCACCTTTCCTAGAACCACTTTTTGACTATAGAACTTGATTTGTAAAACTCAGTACACTCTGAAATGCAAAGGAAGATAAAAGAAAAATAAGAAGGAGGATGTGCAAGTTCAAGTGGTCTACTCTCCTTTTATATTCATGTCTTTTTTTTTTTTCAAAAGAAAGCACTGAGGGGATGGAGATGTGTTTCTCTGCTTGCTCCAAGCATTCTAATAGAGAAGAGAAATTTACAGCTGACTTTTGTTCACACACAGAGACAGTCTCTGTTCGCTGTCAGGTGAGTGCTTTAAGCACAATCAAGCCTTCATTTTAAGAGCAATGTTTCATATATTTAACCTAAAGTGATTGTAACTCTCCGGTTTCTGGATGTTACAGATACGTGTTAGTACTGACATGATATACTGATTGTTAACATCATATATTTAGTAATTGCCACAAGATGTTGCTGTTTTTCCTATCCTGCTGCAGAAAATCACGAGAGAGGGGTGGAATAAGGAAGTATCTGATTTTTTAACAGAGTTCAGAGGTTGTGGTTCAGAGTGCAAAACACCTTTTTGTATGGCTTGTCTTCGACTGTCTAAAGCTGTGGTGCCTTGATAATGCCAATACGCACAGTAGTAACTGCCAGAATCCCTTGGAGTTAAAAAATCTATTGTGAGACGGCAGAGGGGCTCAGTAGGATGTTTCCAAACTTGAAATCTCCTACTATCGCCACTGTCATCGAAAAAAGGTGACTGTCCCCAAATGTACAGTATCCTCTTTGGTGGCTCTCCAGGAAGCTGCTTGTACCAGTGTATGGTGGCTTCGGTCCTCATTTGGCACTCCATGCTGGCAGAGCTGCCCTTCACCTGCCTCTGCAGTGCTGGGGTTTGCACTGGCACTGCCTGCGTGTCTCCACCTAGAAGGGGAAGTAGAGAAATTGTGTGAGGGGAAGAAACAGTTGGAGTTTGGAGATATGACCATGTTTTCTGCCCACAGGAAGGAGAGGGGAGAGGAAAAAAGGGCTTACGGGACAAAAATGAAGTTGCAAGAAGGACTGGAAGTAACAACATGCTGCTCGTGTGGGTAAAACCTGAAAATGAAATAAATAGAGACAGACATGTTATAAAGCCCTTCAGGTGGAGAAAGCATCAAATGACTGGGAGGAGGAAATGACTCATTCGGCACATCCAATGGTTGTTCTTCAACACGCTACCATCGAGGGGGTTAAATTTACCAGCAAGCTAAACCATAGTAGTAACAGCGTAGAAAAGACATAAAATACTCGATCTGAAATATTTTTTCTTCATGCTGAGCACACGTGTAAAAACCCAAGTTGTTCAATCGAGCCTTTCCCAAGGATATTCTCTCACCAGACACCCCAAAGCTGTCCCAGAAGCACATTTCACCAGCCTTACCTTGAACATGCTGCCTGCTTTGGTAGCACAAATGTGATAAGTCATAGTGAACTGTCATTTCTTACTCTTACTTAAAGCATCTCCAAAACATCTGATCAGCTTTATCCATCTATCTCAGATGCGGTTTATTTCCAAGACATCCTTCTGGGACAGCACTCCAGCTCCTCAGGCAGTAGTGTCCTGCCAGCACCAAGGTGGTTGGTCACGTACTGTGTACAAATGCTTGCCTTGCTTGATGATGGGGCTGTAGCACCAAGTAGGAAAAAACAGCTGGTGCATCTTTTGCAAGAGAGCTGCAGTGGCCGTGGCAAAGCCAGGGTGAAGCATGCACATCTCAGCCAGCTATTTGCTGCCCTCAGCTTTTTCTTGTACTTCATGTCTTTTCAGAGCCTGGAAACGGTGCCCTGCAAAGACTTAATAGCAAATGGTCCCTTGGGCAGCAGCCACCACACACCATACCCTTCCCTGAGAAAGATTTCTCATTTTGTGACCTAAAAGAGATAATCTGCTCTGAATTTTTTTTTTTAGGTCTTTGTCAATAGCAGTGTGCATAACGAAATCTCATCTCACAACTAGTACAGAA